TAGGAGATAGAAGGAACAACATTGTGAAAAGGCCAAAGTATAAGAAAGAGTTTCTTGTTCAGGGTAAATTAAGAAGTGCTCATGGCTAGAGCACACAAGAGAAAGAAGTCCTTTAAACATTTTCAACAGGAGAGTGACATGAACTGATTTGAGATTTTGAAATTCACTCTTATGGCAGCACCATAAACTGATTTGTAATGGACAATACTGGAGGCAAGGAGGCAAAAAGATGGTTTAGGACTATTTTAAGAGTATAAGAATTGATGGAGAAAAGGACAAGTAGTGAGTTCCAGAGCCACTTAGATGGTGGAATTAAAGAATTCTCTTTGTAAGAACTTTGGAAATATCTTTTTATTTATGTAATTGTTTTCCTCCATTCAAAAATAGTCTTGAATTAATTCTGCCTAGAAACATAAAGTAAGATAAAACGAAGAGAAAATTTAGGTAGAATAGTAAGCTGAAGACAAATAAAAGTCTTTTTTACACATCTATAGGCCATAAAATGCCCTTTTTAAAAATTGAGGCACAACTGGCATGTAACATTACATTAGTTTCAGGTGTACACCATAATAATTCTATATATATAATTTTATTTTTTTTTTAAAGATTTATTTTTTTCTTTGTCAGAGAGAGAGCACAAGCAGTGGGAGCTGGAGGCAGAGGGAGAAGCAGGCTCCCCACTGAGCAGGGAGCCCTATGTGGGACTTGATCCAAGGACCCTGAGATCATGACCTGAGCCGAAGGCAGATGCTTAACCAACTGAGCTACCCAGGCGTCCCATAGAATTTTACATATATATATATATATATATATATATATATATATGTATGTTTAGAGAGAGAGTTTTTTTTAGAGAAATTATCATGACAATAAGTCCATCCATCATCACACATACTTACAATTTTTTTTCTTGTAAGCAGAACTTTTAAGATTTACTCTCTTAGTAGCTTTCCAATATATAAGATAGTATTATTGACTATAGTCACCATGCTATGCATTATATTCCCAGGACTTATTTATCTTACAACTTAAAGTTTGTACTTTTTGTTCACTTTCACCTATTTTGTTCACTTTCACCTCCCCACCTCCCACCTCTACCAACCACTAGTCTGTTCTCTGAATCTATGAGTTCATTTTTTGTTTCTGTTTTTTTAGATTCTACATATAAATGAGATCATATGGTATTTGTCTTAGTCTGACTTATTTCACTGAGCTAATATCCTCATGGTCCATCCATGTTGTCACAAATGGCAGGATTTCCTTTCTTATACCTGAATGGTAATTCATAATATATATTTATACCACATTTTCTTTATTCATTCATCCATCTATGAATACTTAAGTTGTTTCTATGTCTTGGCTAATGTAAACAATGCTGCATTGAACATGAGGTACAGATATCTTTTTGATATTAGAAATATCATTAGATATTAGAATATGTTATATTCTATATAATTAGAAATATTTCATACATTTGCATGTTGTAAGAATATTATCATGAACATACATGTACCTAGCATTTCAGATTTAAAAAATAAACATTCCACATGTTTCTGAAGCCTACACATACTAACTCTGATTTTCCAGGACTTAGTTAGCTACAATGACAAATCCAAAGGCACTTCTTTTATTTAACATTTTTATATTTGAGATTTCTCCATGATGTTTTATAAGCAGTAGTACTTACATTTTCACTGTTGTCTGTATGGATTTTATTGATTGATTGATTGATTGATTTATCCATCCATATTTCTGAAGGACTTGGATACTTAAGATTTTTATACTTCTTTTCTCTTCCATTAGCAATTCCTTTCTGGTCTACATTCAGGACCGAGTCTAGTCTGGTCCAAACTATCATCATCTAGTGGATCATAGCAGTAACTTCCTCATTGGTCATTACCTTTTCTTCACTCTTTTCTCAGCACCATGACCCAGGGGGATTTTTGTAAAATTTAAGTCAGAATCTTTTGCACCCATCTTTGAAATCCTCCAGTATCTGCCAAATCATCTCAAGCACAGGTCAGAGTCATTATAAACTTTTATAAATCTCTATGTGACCCCTCTCCCTGCCCTGCTACCTCTCTGGCCTCATTTTTTCTCCTCCCTCAATTCCAGTTAAACTGGCCTCCTTGCTTTTCCTTAGCTTTACCAGTCATTCCTCTGCCTCAGGAAAGTACCTGTGGCTACTTTTGCCTGGACCAATATTCTCCTGGGTACCCATGTGGTTGCTGCTCCATAACTCTTAAAGATTTTTACTCAAATGTCAACCTCTCAGTGATGCCTTCCTCAACCATACCATTTACATTCCAATTCATTCCTAAAAATTATTTGCCTCTCTGATTTTTCTCCCTCCAGAGAGAGAGAGAGAATTTATTTGAGACAGAGAGAGAGAGCCAGAGGGGAGGAGGGTCAGAGAGAGAGAGAGAAGCAGACTTCCCGCTGAGCAGGGACCCTGATGTGGGGCTCGATCCCAGGACCCTGGAATCATGACCTGAGCCGAAGGCGGACACTTAACCGACTGAGCCACCCAGGCGCCTCCAGGAGTTCACTTCTAACACATAACAGTTTGCTTCTTTTGTTTATTGTCAGTCTTCCTTCACTAGAGGCTCCAAACAAGAAAACATTTTTGTCTTGTTGGTTAACTGCCGTAACTTTTGAATCTAGAGCTCTCCCTGACACAGCCTAAGTGCTCAATGAATATTTCATGTAGGGATTAATAAGTGGGAACTGGACATAGCCATTAGTATTAAATGGCATTACTCATTTCCTACATTTCTCAAACAATTAACATAAGCTAAAAGGAGGAAATTTTGTGTATTTACAATTAGCAGAAACTTAGAGATTCTTTCTTACCTATTTGGGATATTTGAAGAAAGCATAAAGAGGTCTTCTGGGGGTAGAAGCATAAAATAGCATGAGAACAAGCAAATGATTTAGGGAAACCCATCTGAAATGTCCTTGCCTAACCCTCCTTTTCTGTTCCCTGCCAAGTTACAACATTGTATTCCCCTTTCAGCCCCTGGACTTAGATTTATTATTCTCTTGAATAGCTTTTAGTACCCTTGTCTGACAATGATTTGACTCCATGCTAACTTTTGGATCTCAAACAAACTCTGATGAATTACTGGCACCTTCTCTTACATTTCCAGCACTTTAAAAGGATTCTATCTATGCCAAGTATCATGTTGCCAAGTAGACTATGGAGCATAACAGAGATAATTTTATTTTTATTTGCCAAAGGGAACGTTTTCTCCACCAGGAAAAATTATTTTTAGGAAGTAGTAGTTAGGTAGAGCCAGATGCAGTCAGTAGTCAGAAGTGGTCTGTTTTATTTTATTTTCCTATTTCCAAAAAACATATTAGCATTAAAGAAAAAAGAGTAAAGGTTTTAGAGGCAATGGTGTAGGTTGACTAGACATGTTGAAATTGGCTCCAAAATTTAGCAATAAGGAAGGTGTAAGAGGAAAATAGTGGAAGCTAACATTTACTGAGTGATTACTACGATCCCAACATCTGCTAAGAGATTTTTTTTTGTATTACTTCATTTTATCTAACCCATGAGGCTGGTGCTATTTTTCACAGAAGAGGTAGGAAATCACTCAGAAGTTACTTAACAACCCAAGATTGCAGAATTAGGATTCAGATCAGGTGACCAGACTTCAGGGTCCAAGCTCTTGACTCTTTTATTTTTTAAGGTTTTATTCCTTTATTTTAGAGAGAGAGAGAGAGAGAGTGCGTGTAAGTTGGGGGAGGGGCAGAGGTAGAGGGAGAGAATCTCCAGCAAATCCCCTGACCCAAGCGAGGCGGGGTTCAAGGCCCGGCTCAAGATCATGACGCTGAGATCATGACCTGAGCTGAAATCAAGTCCAGCGTTCAACGTTCAACCGACTGAGCCACCAGGCACCCCATGAACTCTTGACTCTTAATTGACTCTTAAGCACAAATAAGAAAGAATAAAGTAAAGTGAAGCATATCTGGAAAATATATGATTTTTTAAAACTTATTGACTCTTTGAAAATATTAATAAATGTATTATCTCCAATAATCCTTTAGATAAAACTCAGGTTTTAAAATGGTTTTTTAAACCCTAAATATGATAGATATAATTTGTTATCTGCTTTTATCCATTCAGAATCTACAGACATTATGATGAAATATTTTGATATTTATATATTTATGACTTTCCTTAAAGTGCATTTCTTGTATTTATAGACTATATAAGCTTTATTCAGAAAAAATGAAATTTACTATAAAAAATGGGAAAGAAGAACTCTTGTATATTCACAATACATTTTTCATTGGTTGACTTTTTTATTTCTATCCAAGGCCACTGAGCAGAACATTCCAGAAAATACAAACTGTACTTTCTGAGATAAACTTACGTTCTTTTAAAAAATACTTCTGGGGATCTCGTTGAAGACCCTTTTATCATGAAGAGGTATTTTTTTCTTAACTGCTACACAATTGGAAGAAAGCCATTGCTATGATATGGACAGAAATTAAGAGTATATTTTCTGTGAAATCAAATTGATAAGTTGACATGTATACACTTATAAATACAAAGCAAAATCAGTTGCCTACCAGGGCCAAACAGGTATCATAAATGAGATGAAGTGGGCCATATTATTTAGACTATAAAACAAGTATAATATACAGGATGTGCATGACAGGATATACATAAACAGAAATTAAAATGAAATGCTATATCTTATTGGTTCATAGGATAAATGGCGTTCATTAACTGGATTACGAAGAACTACTTTCTAGGAATCTGTCATCTTTCAAACTTATATATTGTGTTAGTTTCAAAATTTTTGTAGTAATTCATTGTAGTATTTGTAAATAATATCATCATTTAGAGCACCACACATAGACTTCTTTGAACTGTGCTTACTAGTTCTTCCTGTAGGGAAACCAGATTATGTATGAAAATTGTCTTTTTAACTGCATTCACTGTGTTTTCCTCTGTGTGTGTGTATGTGTGTGTGTTTGTGTTGCAGAGAAGGCCAGCAATCGCCAGAACAGTGGCAGAAGATGTACGGTAGATGCTCTGGCAATGAAGTTTACCACATTGTTTTGGAAGAAAGTACATTTTTTGCTGAGTACGAAGGAAAGAGTTTTACATATGCCTCTTTTCATGCACACAAAAAGTATGTTTCTGCTTCCAGAGTGGACTTAAAATATAAATCAATTGCACCCTTTAAACACAGTTTTCTAAAATACAGCCCATATTGGTGCTCACGAGTTGCAAGTATTCTGGAATTTTTAACATAATTATTGAGACATTTGAACTCTGAGCTTCTGGATGGTCTTTACAAGTTAGGAATGTTAGGTATAAAGTATAATTTAGTAGGAATATTGACTTTAGTAACTTTTAAGTTATCTTTAAAATATTTTAATCCATTAAGAATTCACAAATACATGAAAATGAATCTTCTTTAGAGATCTAATTTTAAAGTGCTGATTAAAAATGTAGACAAAGTCATAATAACATTTATAAAATCTAGACATTTAAAAAAACTTGCTTTGGCCAGAGAAATAAGTTAAAAAGTAAATAATTGTACCTTCTAATTCAAACATGGAACATAATATTTTTCCTTTTTGAGAAAAATTATTTACTAAAGAAACAATCTATGTTTATAATGAAAGTAATATATTATCAGTATTATAAATATATTGATATAACATTTTTAAGGTTTGTATATATCTAGTATATTCCACTAATCTAATATTTAATGTATTCCACTTTAATTCTCAATATGATTCTATCCATACATATACTTTTGATGTTTAAAAAATATTTTTAAGCTAGATTTATTGTAACATGTTAGACATATTGAAATAAAAACATTCAGGACATTTTGTGTTTGGAGCATAACCTGAAAAAGTATAAAAGAAATTTTTAATATCTATTACATTTAGTCATTGATATTTCTCCCAATTAAGCTGTGCACCTATTCAGACTATTAATTTTTTTTTTTTTGTAAAATTCAGAGTAAACCAAATAAGGTAGAAACAGAACTAAAAGAAATTTAGGTACCCTGATTTTTTTCCTCATGTGACCTTGGGTAAGTTTCTTCTTCTTTTAGACCAATGACTTTTAAGCATTTTTGACTAAAGTAATACTGTTTTATATTTTTTGACCAAGTGAAAATATACATTTATGGTAAGACTCAATACACACACACACAATTTATAAAAAATTCTTAAAAAAAAAAATGATACACACCCTGATGTTTTTCATTATTTTTTTTTCTGGTCTTCATTAAAAAAAAGGTATATATGTCATGATCAACAAAATTGATTTCACCACACACTATTTTTTTTTTTTCTTTTCCTGGAAAAACAGGAAAGTTTTGAGTCTTGAGAGTCTTTTTTTTTTTTTTTGTCTTGAGCATCTTGAGTCTTGATGGATCTTTTCAAGCTTAAAAATGCTGTGATTTGGGGTTTTAATTTTCCTCTACCTTTTAATAGTTTACCAATTTTCTTACATATGCAAACTTGAAAACAAACAAAAAACATAAGAGCTTTGCTGAATTATAATTCTTAAACTTTATTTATTTTTTTAAATTAAGGTTTGGCGTCTGCTTGATTGGTGTTCGGAGGGAAGATAATAAAAACATTTTGCTGAATCCAGGTCCTCGATATATTATGAATGCTACAGATATATGTTTTTATATTAATATTACCAAAGAAGAGAATTCAGCATTTAAAAACCAAGACCAGCAGAAAAGAAGCAATGTACCAAGGTCATTTTATCATGGACCTTCTCGATTACCTGTACATAGCATAATTGCCAGCATGGGTAAGTATACATAAATTTGAAAATATCACTAGTTTCTTTCTTTCTTTCTTTCTTTCTTTCTTTCTTTCTTTCTTTCTTTCTTTCTTTCTTTTTCTTTCTTTCTTTCTTTCTTTCTTTCTTTCTTTCTTTCTTCTTTCTTTCTTTTCTCTTTTTCTTTCTTTCTCTTTCTTTCTTTCTTTCTTTTCTTTCTTTCTTTTTAAAGATTTTATTTGTTTATTTGAGAGAGCGAGAATGAGAGAGATCACAGAGGGAGAGGGAGAAACAGACACCCCACTGAACAGAGAGCCTTATGCAGAGCTCGATCCCAGCACCCTGAGATCATGACATGAGCCGAAGGCAGATGCTTAACCTACTGAGCCACCCAGACCCTAGTTTCTTTCTTTAAAAGACATAATAAATATCTTTCAATGTTTGTTAAAATTTCAAAGTCAAACTTAGAAATTAATTGTGTATATTATAAACTTGGTGTAACTAAGTATACAGAACAAAGTTTCTAAGCTATTAAACTGGTAAGAAATTAAGCTAATTTGGGACGCCTGAGTGGCTCAGTTCATTAAGCATCTGCTTTTGGCTCAGGTCATGATGCCAGGGTCCTGGGAGTGAGTCCTGGATCAGGCTCCTTGCTCAGCAGGGAGCCTTCTCCCTCTGCTGCTCCCCCTGCTTATGCGCTCTCTTTCTCTCTCTCTGTCTCTCTGACAAATAAATAAATAAAATCTTTAAAAAAAAGAAATTAAGCTAATTCAAAATTGTCAACAATGATTTCATATTTCTCATTAGAATATGATCACCTGTCACTTTTATAGTTCTTTTGTAAGTTCTGTATCCAGTTATCAACAGAGGTTTCAAATATTCTCTGTTTTTCTCAAAACTCTTCTTCCATCCTCCATCTCATTCTTACCATTGAACTTGGCTTTTATGACAAAGAAGTAAAAAAAAAAAAAAAAAGGGAATAGATCCAGACAAATAAGAATTTCCTTTAAATTTTGCCACCAAACCACCTATGAACCTACAAACATTCATTTTTGTTACAAGGATAATGTGTCCTTTCTTTTAACTCTTAGTATTTTTTAAAAAAATTTATTTACTTATTTTAGAAAGGGAGCAAGAAAGTCCAGGGGAAGGAGCAAAGGGGGAGGGAGAGGGAGGGGGAAAGAATCTCAAGCAGACTCCATGCTGAGCGCAGAGCCTGACACAGGGCTTGATCTCACAACCCTGAGATCATGACCTGAGCCGAAACCAAGAGTTGGATGCCTAACCAACAGAGCCACCCAGGTGCCCCAACTTTTAATATTTTAATAGTAATGACTTCACTTACTACCTCCTCTGGGACCTTTTTATTTTAGTTCATCCTTATTACCTAATTTTATTTTATTTTTCAAAATCATTGGCTCATTTCTCCTCCCTTTGTCTGTCTCTGTGTGTCTCTGTCTTCATATTGCTACACACACACACACACACACACACATAGACACGTATGCATGCACGCTCACAGACACATATACCTGGACCTCTTGGCTTGACATCTTCACAGGTAAATTCCTTGAAAGAGTTGTCTTCAGTTGCTGGCTTGAAATCTTATTGTCCCCTCATGCCTCTGCCTGGTTTAGTCTGAAATCTCTAGTCATTATATTACTACTCTGGCAAAGCCACCACTCTTGTTTGTCACTAAATCCAGTGGACATCTTCACTGCATAGGATGGTATTGACCATGTGCTTCTGCTCCCACAGATTGACTTGCCCTCCAAAAATTGATGATTCTCTTATGTAAATCATTAACTTAAATTTCTCTTCACAACAATATACTGGTTATATATTGCTGTCTGGATGTGTCACAGGAAAAACCAACACAAGCATATTCAAATTGAACTAATCTTTATGCTTTTATTCAAAACTACTTCCTCCTGGGGCGCCTGGGTGGCTCAGTTGGTTAAGCGACTGCCTTCAGCTCAGGTCATGATCCTGGAGTCCCGGGATCGAGTCCCGCATCAGGCTCCCTGCTCGGCAGGGAGTCTGCTTCTCCCTCTGACCCTCCCCCCTCTCATGTGCTCTCTATCTCTCATTCTCTCTCTCTCAAAAAAATAAATAAAATCTTTAAAAAAAAAAAAACTACTTCCTCCTCCATTTTTTGACTAAAAAACAGATGACACGTTATAATTTATAAAGTCACAATTCTGACTTTTCACTGTTCCTCTCCTCTCATACCTCAGAATTCACCCAATTCTATTAAATCAGAGTATCAAGTATTCCTGAGAGTCATTCCCTTCTTTCTGCCAATGTCTGTGTGATCATGGTCTGAATGTCCATCATTCTTCCCCTCAACTGCAGGGTCACCCCCCGCCCAAGCTTCTCTCCATGCCTCCATGCTGTCCTGCACTCTTCTCCACCTTGCAACCAGACTTATAATTTTTATATAATTTTGGTAGTATCATTCTCCTGCATAAATCATTTGAATTGCTGGGGTGCCTGGGTGGCTCAGTTGGTTAAGTGTCAGACTCTTGATTTCAGCTCAGGTCATGATCTCAGGGTTGTGAGGTCAAGCCCCACGTTGGGTTCCATGCTTAGTGGGGAGTCTGCTTGAGATTCTCTTCCTCTCTCTCTCTCTCTGCCCCCCCACCCCACATGTGTACATGCTCTCTCTCTCTCTCTCTGTCTCTAAAATAAATAAATCTTTTAAAAAAATAAATCATTTGAATTGCTTCTTATTATCCAAGGGAAAAAAAATCTAAATTTTATAATATTCCATGGCTTATAATTTGGATGACCAAAATTTCTTGTTTGCATGAGGCACTCCCAGTTGTCCCAGGACAGCCCCAGTTTATATACATTATCCCGGTGTCATTATTAAAGACCGCCCCCTTTTTTTTTCAAGAGTATCCTAGTTTATAAGGTAAATCACACAGTCACTTTACTTAAATCTTTTTTTAATAATTCCACCTTTGTTTTCTAGTATTGTATTTTACTATCCCTTCAATTGCATTCCTAAGTCCCATTCGTACTAAATTCCTTTCAACCTTCACTAATGGTTTTTCGCCAGTGGACCTTAACACATGAAGTTTCTTCTGACAGGTCTACTCCCCAGCCCCCAGCTTTGCCTAGGTAACTACTTCTAATCCTTTGTATCTCAGTCTCAATATCATTTTTTCTGAGACATATTCCATGGCTCTGCTTGGACTGTGTTAGGTAACCCTGTTTGTCATTGACATAGCATAGTATTTTTTTATAGTAGTCCTACTTATTTTTTTCCATTATCAACAATTACTTACTGAATACCTAATATGTGCCAGACACTCATAAGTTTTTGTGATAAATTAGTGAACAAATAGATAAGATCTCTACCTCACGGATCTTATGTTCTATCACAGAGAAGACTGGCAATAAACAACACATAAAAAATAAGGAAATAATTTAGTGTTTTAGAAGGTGATAAGTAATAAGAGAAAAGAAAGAAGGCAAATGAGCTAATAAAAGGGTTTATGAATTCCGGAGAGACTGAATTTTTAAATGAGGTGGTTAGCAAGCCTCATTGAAAAGATGATATTTGAGAAAATATTGAAGAAAATGAAAGAATTAGCCTTGTGGGTATGTGGAGGAAGAGCATTCCTCACAGATAATAGCTACTACAAAGGCTCTATGGGAAGCCTGACTGGGTGTTCCAGGAACAGTAAAAAAGTTCTTGTGACTCAAACACAGTGGGCAATGATCGGTTATAGGAGACAAGGTGGAAGAGGTAAAACAGGACAGATTGTGTTTGGGCTTTTAAACTCAAAGTAAGGATTATTTTTTCTACTCTGAATGAAAGATAGTCATTGCAAGTTTTAAGCAGAACAATGGCATGATCTCACCTATGCTAACCTATGTTTTAATACAATCACTTTGGCTGCTGTTGAGATCCTTGGTTTGGCCCAAGGATCAGAGTACTTTCATATTGAGGTGGTAAGGAGAAAATTCTGAGTATACTTTGAAGATAGAGTAACCAGGATTCACTGATGATTGAAAGCAAACTATGAGAAAAAGAGAAGTGTGAAGAACCCCAAGGTTTTTGGTTTAAGCAACTGGAAAAAGGGAATGGCCATCCACTGAGATAGGGAAGGCTTGGGGAGTGCAAGTTTGATGGGGAACGGGTAAAAAGTTCAGTTTGAGACACACTGAACTTCACATGTTTGTTAGACATTGAGAGGAAGATGTCAAACAGGAAGTTAGATATAAAAGTCTAGAGTTCAGGAAAGAGGTATACACTGAAAAAGTAAATTTGGGGTTCCTGAGCTTATGTATTATATTTAAAGCTATGAGACTGAACAAGATCATTGATGAAATGAGTATGGACAGAAAAGGGATAAAGACAAAGGACTAAATCCTACAGGATATCAACATTAAATATCAGGGAGATGAGAAGAAACCAGCAAAAGAGTCCAAGAAAGAGCCACTGGCAAGGAAGTAGGAAAACCTGGTGAGTGTGGTGTCCTGGAATCCAGTGTATCATGATAATGGAGTGATCTGCTACATCAACGGCCACTAATAGTTCAAATAACATGAGAATTGAAAACTGGCAATTGAATGTGACAAAACAGTGACCATCACTCTTTCATTGGAAAGATAGTAGAAAATGGCAGATCAGAGGGGTTTATGACAGAATGATTGAATTTATGGTTGACAGAGTTGAATTTAAACAGGAATTTAAACAGGGTTTGCTTTTTTTTAATCTATTTTTTTATTAACATATAATGTATTATTTGTTTCAGGTGTACAGGTCTGTACATCAGTGTTACACAATTCACAGCACTCAACCCTCCCCAATATCTATCACCCAGCCACCCCCTCCCTCCCATCTCCCTCCACTCCAGCAACTAAACAGGGTTTGCTTTTGCCAAGAATGTAAGGGAACAAAAATGTGGCAAGGGAACCAAGAGTATATGCACGTGAATAATCATAATGCTTAAATATGGAGTTTAAGATGGGTAAAAAGAGAAGACAGAACATGAAGGGAGTGAGGGAGATTATTCAAACTTGATATTATAACTAGAGGTTTAGAAGAGTAAAACCTTAGCTGAAGTTGAGACACAAATGAGAATGACCCGAAAAGATAGGAAATAGTGGTGGTTAGAGGATGAATGTGTGAAATGAATAAATGCAGTGAGGCTGTTAATGGTTATAACAAGGTCTAAAAAGTGCGGAAGTGAGGGGCCTTAGATGAAAATGATTTCTTTAGTGAATTCAAGGAAGTGAGAAGGCTTACCTATCTGTATTTTTAACACATTGGATGAGGCAGGAATAGTGTTGTGAATTGAATTGTGTCCACCAAAATTCCTATGTTGAAATCCAACCCCCAGTACCTCAGAATGTGACCTCTATTGGAGCTAAGGTCTTTACAGAAGTGATCAAGTTAAAATGAGGTCATTAGGGTGGACTCTAATCCACTATGACTGGTTTCCTTCTAAGAAGAGGGAATTAGGACACAAAGACACACCCAAGGAAGACAATGAGAGGGAACATAGGCAGAAGATGACCATCTACCAGCCGAGGAGTGAGGCCTGGAACAGACCCTTCCCTCACAGCCCTCAGAAAAACCAATCCTGCCAACACCTGGATTTTAGACTTCCAGCCTCTAAAACTGTGAGGAAATAAATTTCTGTGGTGTAGGCCACCTGGTCTGCGGTACTCCATTATGACAGTCCTGACAAACTAATGTGCATAGTATTGGAGAAACTGATTAGAAACATTAAGAAATAAGTAGAATGACATAGGATTAGTCACCAAACAAAGCAGTGAAAGATAGTGGTGATAGAATCTGAAGATCTGGGATACAAAGCTGGGATTTTAGAAAGAATAAAAGGAAAAGAGTCTGAAATCAGAGTCTGAGAACACTCAGGGTATTTACCCACCACCTTTTTAAAGGGCTGAGGGGAAGATGTCGTGGAAGAATCAGTTTTTGTTAAGCAAAGGAAATGTTCAAAGAAGAGAAAAAAACTGTAATTGTAACTACTTTTTGAATTGTTTTCCCTGCTAGATTCTGAGCAGAAAAAAAGGAACAAGTTTGTTGAAACTCTCATGTTTGTTTGCAGTCAGGGAATTGAAGGATTTCTTCTATAATAAGTTCTGTTTTCTCTCTGAATTCAGCAATGTGGTCATCTGCAGAGGATAAATATTATACATATGAATTTTAACTTAAAACCTTAGGATGTCAAACAGTTGAAAATAGAGCTACCATACGATCCAGCAATTGCACTACTGGGTATTTACC